CCCTTCCTCCTCCTCTTTCTCCTCCTCCTTCCTCCTCCTCTCCTGAAGTGGCCCCACTCGAAAATGCTACTCGCTAAATTAGGTAGGTTATATGGGTTTCGTTTCATTTGCGAGCAAACTTTAATAAACGTTAAAATTGCGTAAAAGAGCAAGGTTTTCAGACGGACGGATCAGGGTCGGGCTGATCTCTCATCGTTGGGAGACGGTACGTACAAATACCGCGAACTCTACGCTAAAAACCACCGCGCGGTATATTTGTTCGCGATTATTACACTTTATTAAACGGTAAATATAAATATAGAGATAACTTTGGGAAATCATGAGCACTCAATGAGAAGAAAGCGAAAAAGCTCTGCAAAGACAGAAAAAAGATCAAAACGATAATTTATATAAGAAGAATTTATATAAGAAGAATTTATATAAGAAAAAAGATCAAAACGATAATTTATATATAAGTGCAAAATAACATACGTTCTAAAAACTTAATATTTAATATTACATTTATAAAACATAATTTATATTTTCCAAAAATCAAATTGTAGATACAACGTATCCCTCTTAAATCCTCACTATTTCTTCGCTTCTTCGTTACAATAGTTCTTCTTTGCTATCCCCTTTCTTTATTATCCTTTATTATCCTTTAGACTTTTAGCTTTTTAGAAAACTATACTCCCCTTTATTGATATCAAGAAATAATCTTAAAGATTTAATTATCCTTTAATTCTCATTTAATTATTTTCATTTTTTTGTATTCGAATAGAAAACAAACTTTAGCTTTTGTCATCTATGTAAACATTGTTCTTATTCTTAGTCTTCTCTTCATTTATTAATATTCTTCATTTCTGCATTCATTTAACGCATATTTTATAAAAATAAAAAAAATTCTTTAGAAAAATATAGATTATAAGATTATAACACAAATTAAAAGATCAATTTCCTGTATGACCATCTAATTTAACATTAGCACGTGTATTATCCTTTTCAAATCTTATAAATCTAATGACTATTATCGAAAAAACTAAAGAAGCTTACATATCTTCTTATTAAAGGATTAAAGTATTAGCGTATTAAATGCTAATTCTGCTGTCATCTAGCATCAAACTTTTACAATACAATCTTTTAAATACAATCTCGGATATCTTCTCACGTACAACGCAATTTCTGCTATCTTCTCATCTAACTATCCAGTTATCGATTATTCAGAACACTGTATTATTGATCTCTCATCCGATTGAAAGTCGGATAGATAGAATTCTGCAAATTCATAATGAATTGAATAACCCTTATGAGCTCTCTCTAGTGGCCATCAACGGTATCTCAGTTGAGAAAGATCTGTCAGATCAGACTATCAAAAAGGTTAGAGATCTTTGAGTAGAGGGTGAACGTGCTCTTTTCTGCCTTGCAAAAACTTGAATTGGAATTTCACCTGTATTTTTCCTATTTTTTCTTCCGTTTTCTTACCTGTACCATTTTAATCACTCAACAACAATTTGTGGAGAACGCGTCCACTAAATATTGGCCGTATTGTCATTGGAGTGAGACAGGTGCTACTAAACCGAAAGAAAAAAAAGATTAGACCACAATTATGTGAATGTACACAAGCTGGTGCGAAATACATTCCTGATAAAAAATGAGCCTCGTAGCGTACGATAGTAGCGACGAGGGATCCGAAAACGAAGATAACGAGCTTGCGGTAGCCGTTGCCGTGAATGATGTGAATAAGGATGCAACGGAAGCTATAACTGTGCAAATAAATGCAAAATTGTCGTTACCTGCCCCGAGGATGATTTCGCAAATTACAAACGATGAAGAGGAAGATAATAATAACGCAGAACCTAACTTCGTACAACTTCTCAGTACACTGCCGAAGCCCAGAGATCCTATTTCTATGGAAAATATTGAGGAAGTGGAGGACGATATTTTATTGAAGAAGGAAACTGAAAGTCAAATCCCAAAGCCAGCAAAGAAACAAACAGTGAAAATATCAGTGCCTTCTTTATTGGAGGTATATATTTGAGTCTTCAATATTTTGTTGAATCATGTTTATATCATTTGATATATTCTTTCAGTTTAAGGATCTTGAAGAAGAGAATGAGAAGAAGCCAGCCAGAATTGTACAACCGTCACAAGTAAGTTCAAAAATTTAAAAATCTGAATGAATTCTGAACGGATGTAACTCATGAATTATATTAATTATTGTAGAAAGGTTGTGGTCTCTTTACTGTCCTGGTACCGCCAAAAGGAGAGACTGCAAGCAGTAAGACACTAATACCTCAGGTTGTTAAAAATGCAACGGTGAAAACAAATATACAGCAATCGAAAATGATGAGAAAATCCAGTACAAGTCAGAGTGATTCTATAGTAAAGAAACAAACTTCAGATAAATCGCATGATGAGTTGAGTTCTGATGAAGAAGAGGCGTCAATAGATTTCTTCGGTTTAGCTGTAGATAAAGATATACCAGATAGTTCCACAACAGGATTATTAGACTCCGAATTGATTTCGGATGACATACATAAATCAAGTGTTGAAGATTCGTTCGTGAGACAGATAAAAGCCAATGATATGATACACGATTCTTCCTCTAGTGTTTTATCAAGCGGACAGTCAAACAAGATATTAATAAGTAACGTTATAAATTTACCTAAGGAAGAAATTTTACTGAAAAATAAAGCGGAGGTTGGTCCAAAACTACCTGTTCCTGAACAAGAATATAACGTTGACGTGGAGGGCAATGTTGCCTTCGATGAGAAAGCAATTGAATATCTTTGTGGAAAACGAGGTATAAAACGCAAAGAAATCGCCGAAGCGGATATAATAGAGATAAATGGAGAGGATATAAAGCCAGATGAAAGGGAATGGCTAGTGAAAGCATTAACAGAAGAGCCTGTACAAAGGCCGGTGTCTATGCAGAGTTGCGGAGTCAATTCTCAATCTAAGAAGAAACATCAAATAACTTATCTGGCGCATCAAGCCAAAGCCATGGAACTAGAACTCAAGAATCAGTGGTCTCAGAATAGAATGGCACGGAAACAGACAAAATCGAAATATGGTTTCTAAAAATAAATTTGTACAAGATTTTCTTAACATCTGCACATATGTTTTATTTTTAATGTAAATTAATGATAGAAAATATGTATAAAAAAAATAAAGATATCGCGAATATATATATGAAAATATATTGAAATTCAGATAAATTTGAAATTATAATTTCACAAAGCTCACTGAGTTTTTCCCAAAAATGTCTGTTCTAAGCTTTCGTATTCTTTCCTTTTACTTTCCACTAATAATTTAGCCTGTAATAAATTAGGTGGTAAATCGCCGTACTGAGCGAGCGATTGATTAAGATCTGTCAATCTGCTTGTTTCTTTTAAATACAGTTTATATTTATCCAATATTTTTTCCGAATAAAATTCGTCGACTTGCATGTCACTCAAGTCTGCCTCTAATCTCTCTACAGTTTGTTGGTATTCCTTCAATTTTGCAGATAAAAAACTTTATTGCAATACAAATTGTTTTTCTCTTCCTCTGTAGTATCAATGCTATTCTTGAGAGAATCAACTGCATCTTGTAGATGATCGAGCTTCTCCTGCAATTTTGTACAATTCCTAAATAATTTATCATATTTCGTGGACATCTGCTTTTCCTCTCGTTGCCGCCTTTTCTCCTCTATAATTCTTCGTTCTCTTATCACTCGCAAAGCTGTTTCATCAAATTCCAGCAACTTCTCAGCTCTCAAGATTGCAGACAGCTTTTCTAAACCCTCTTTTATATCACTGGGTAACGTTTTAACATCCAAATCCAATTTTGTGAGCAAAGCTATCATCTCCTTTGTAAATGCAATATTTTCTTCTGTTGTTTCCGAGATGGCTCTTTGCAGATGTCGAAGCAGAAAGGTTTCCTCGGCACACGTGTTTCTCTCATGACATTTCGCGACATCGGTTGTAAAACCCGGATCATTGTGTGAAATTGATGCTACCTATTTTTGATTATTAATTAATGTCTACTTCTAATAATTATTAATAGTAAAACTACATCTTTAATAATAAACCGTAATAAAATAGTTTTAATGTAAATTCACATTTCAATAAGACTCAACCCTTCAGGAGAGGATCAATTTACCTCACTATCGTTGTCCATTCTATCGATCGCTTTGATCTAACTGTTATTCTTAAATAACTTGTTGAATAACGCGTTAAAGGACAAAAATCGTTAGATGTCGCAGCTGTGTGCTGGAACATCTTCACCTCTTCAAAAATCCCTACGTCTCCTAGAAAAACGAAGAATGTTGGTATTACATCAAAGCGCGCGTACCGGCGTGTTTGTTTGCCGGAAACCTAACCTCCTAACGTTCAGCCACATAACCTAAAAAAAAAACAAGTCGAGAGCACCTTAAATCTCACTATCCGGTGAAAAGCGACAAAAGAATAAACATTCAACAGCGATAGAGAGATCTCCGGTCGGACATCGACCGACAACGACAGGCAGGAAATGGATTCCGATGTCAAGGAGAACCTCGACCAGTCCATTCGCTTGCTGAGCCAGCAGAGTAGTCAGCGGAGAACGTTTTTAAGATTAAGCGGCAAGAGTAACACCCCGAAGAGGATATCTCTGCAGGTAGCTGGTCAGTCGCGAAAGGATGCCGATGACGGTAGGCAAACGCTCGGCGAGGCATACAGTCCAGGGCCGGTCGACAGATCCTCGGGATCCAGGCTGAAAGTTCAGAATATCGAGCTTGAGACGTCGTTGACTCTCGCGCCCCACGAGATCCGCGATATAATGATGCGTTCGGAGAGGAACGACATCACGATCAAGGAAATGATGGAGGATAGCACGGCGACCGGGGCGATCCTAAAGGCAAACGAACCATGGCGGGAAGCCAAGGCCAAGCTCTACTATGACTTCCTGCAGAGTGTGCAAGTGCACTTCTCGGAGGCACAGGTATTCGACACTATCGCGGATTTTATACAAAATTGCACTGACACGTTGGACATAATGAGAGGTATTGAAAAATACTAGACATATTGACTTTGTATTCTATTATTGAATTATTTTAAATAACAAAATATCTCATTGTATTAACAGGTATGCAGTCTAAAGTTGAGAATACGGAAATAGCAGAAGAGGAACTTTCTTTGGAAAGTGAGAGAAACACATGGAGATTGATATACTGCCTTTATCAAAACCGTATAAGTAGCGCTGGTTTGTCTACTCAAATGGAACATGATGGAATAATAAACAACAATTACATCTCTGAGAAGGATGTTATAGAAAATTTGTTCAAATCTGAGAGTTATATCAGAGAATATCAATTGATTATCGATTGGTTAGAAAAGAATGCTTTGGATCAAGCAGACAAATGTCCATCGATAGAACTCTTTACTGATAAAACGGTGGCTTGGGAAAATACAGTTCATCAGTTACATAATCAAAAGTTAGGAATTGCGTTTAGTTCGTCCAGACCACTAGTATCATCGCTTGATCCTGATGCGCCAATACGGGAAGGTAAACCATTACATGATCTGGATAGAGAAGATGACGCCAGACTCGAAAAAAGAATGTTCATAGAGGTATATATCTGTTTTCAATTAAAATTATATAACATAAATCTGATACAAAAGTAATTTAGAAGACTAAAGTAATATAATTATTATATTTTAAAATGATGTATATTACAGGTCCGATGTGGACGTCTTCAGAAAGCACAAGAATTAGCCAAGCACTGTGGTCAACCTTGGAGAGCTGCATGTTTATTAGGATGGATTCCTAATCATGATCCAAATTATAGTAATCCATTGACAGACACGAAATTGCCAATCGAAGGCAATCCTAATAGAAGTCTTTGGAAAATTTGCGCTTGGGAACTATCTCAAGATAAACGTATAGGTAAACATTTATATTTAATAAATATTAGATCGTAACTATGAGTTATATAATTTTAAATTAGTAATTTTTGTAATATGGCATATTTTTATGCTTCCTTATAAATAAATTATAAATGCGATAAATATTTTTTCATGCAGGTGTATTCTATCGTGCTATATATGCAAGTCTCTGTGGCAATGTTCAGCTATTACTACAGATAGCATCATCTTGGCAAGATGCATTGTGGGCATACGTGAAGACCCTTCTAGATATCAAAGTCGAATCAACACTGCGATTAATGATGGTGAAAATTTATACATCTATGCCGGATGAATATTGGAAGAATGAAATTTCTTTAGAAGACGCGTTCAAAGAGTTGCATGCGTCAAAGAATCCATTAATACGTGCACAATCTAACAAACCCGATCATTTAATTCAAAAATATGTAATATTAGATCAAATACCAAAATTAATGGAAGAAATCGAAACTATGATAGATGTTGGCACCTGCGATCCACAGTTCCTGAGATTTCTGGCGCATTTAATATTATTCTTCAGACAGATTGGAAAAAGTACAAAGGATAAAGTGGAAGACAAAGTATTGTTAGCATATGTTCGTGTTCTTATTGAAATGGGCGATCCAACTTTAATCGCGTTCTACACGGCAACGTTGCCTCAAGAGGATCAAATAACCAACTACGCTTCTTATTTGGAGAGAGTTAAAGATCACGAAGAGCGTAAAAAATGTTTAAGTGCTGCGGAAAAAGCGAATTTGAATGTAGAAGCGATCACGAAATTGGTAGTGAAGAATATACGTAAGAAAAACATAGAATCTGACCCAATGGATTTAAAAGGAACCGTCACTGATGCAGACATGGAGAAGATTGATGCACTCGACTGGTTGATTTTCTATCCAAGTCAGAGAGAAGAAGCTCTATGGCAAACCAACGCACTCATTAGATATTTCCTTACTAATGAAAAGATCGATGCGGCTCGAAAAGCATTTAACAAGGTAAACATAATTGTTATAATTATTGTATGAACTTGCTCAAAATTTATGATATAATTCTGTACTGAATGGCTTTTATTAGTAGTATAGGAGAGACAGAAAAATCAACGAGAATGGTTGGATTCGAACTCGGTTCTTTATTATTTAGCCGCAATACTTAGTATGACTTAGTCTGTATGACCACGACAATTTCTCATAAATGTTTACATTTCTAATCTTCTAATATCTAAATCTAATATCTAAAGACTGTTTAGGATTCTTTATTGTTTATATTACTTACTTTATTTTTCCTACTAAATTTAATTAATTTATCACAATAATTATAATGTAAAATAATAGTTGTGAAATGATTTTTGTATATACATAGATCCCGGCAGATTCGATTGAAACAGTTATATCCGAGTATCCGAGTATGGATTGTACACTTATGAATCTTACACTAACTAATAATTTATCGAAAAAAGCGGCTGCGTCGATAAGAGAATATCTTTGTTACAAAACGTACCTTGATGCTCAAGAAGGTTTCGGTGAATGGTTCTCTCATTATCATCACGGTAAACCCACGCCACCGGAAGAGTTACCAACGTACGCCACGTTCACGGAAAAAGTTGCGTACGATCATAGAAAAACGCAATACAATTTAGAATTAGAAAGATGGAAATCTACGATGCAGCATCATACAAAAGTACGTGAAAAATAAGAACGATACGGGCGGAATCGAATAAAAAATAAAAATTTTATATTGAAATGTAAAACTAAATATATTTTTTTCAGGCTGTGAAACAATTATTATTTAATGTTCTATTATTCCCTGATGGCGGTTGGCTTGTCGATACCAAAAGTAGCGATTTGATGGATGCTACGCCCGAGGATGAGCTTAGGGACCATCAGATGGAAAAACTGCGCGAGCTTTGTATTCCTAAAATCACACTTTTGCTATATTCGGTAATGTCCGAAATGAATGAGCACGACGGCTGCATGCAATTGGCCGACATACTCGCCTCCGAACAACATCAGCTATACAAAGTATGGACAATAAAATAAATATTTTAACATATTAAAATATCAATTGTATAAAAATGTATTAACACGTTGTTATTCTTATATAGGTATTTTCGAAGGGAAAACTACGTGAAGTATTCAGAAAGATTTGCGAATCTTCTCTCGTCTTAATGGACCAAAAGAAAGATCCTTGGGGATATCCAAAATAATATTTAAATATATAACATATTAACTGTATAAACCTTTTTTACGTCGTTGCATTAAATATATAGGCAATCTTCATGGTTCCTTTTCTGCTTTTTTTTTCTTTTTTTATAAAACCAGTTTATTGTCAACCACAAGAAGTGAATATAAAATTTGATACAATGTTCAATAATTCGTAATCATAATATATCATATACCTCGTGATTACTTATATAGATATGCTCCTTTTATCCAATTATTAATAAATGTGGCGCTATCAAAGCCATTAAGATTAATGTGTGAAATGTGCGACAAAACTCATTAGTTCGTAAAAGAGCAGAACATCCTGAGATACATTTCGCAGCGACACTTAGAACTCGGTTTTACAGTTGACAGATACTTCTAATCTCGCATCTTGATCGCATAATATACATTCGCATACGACAATATGTACGTACGGAATGCAAGAATAATAACATTTGAAATCAAGCGATTCATCCAATAGAAATCTGAACAAATGCCGTAATACATTGAAGAGCTGTAGTGATATGATTTCATTGTATATTCTATTCTATTGTCAAAAAGAACGATGTTCTTTTTTTTTTTGTTCGACGGGAACAGTCTTCTTTTCACCAAAGTTTTTTCTTTCTTTATACATATGGCTTTGATTTTGAAAAACCGACGCGTGCGCCTTCTAAGTAACGCTACAAGTCAACTGAGAGAGAGAGACACATTTATACGTTACATATAGACTATATGAAGAAAATTAACATTTTTTTCGACAAAGTCTCCTATCTACTAAATAATCGGGATTTTAACGACGCTCGCGTGCGCCGCGACCGACGTTGACCGATTTTCCTTTTTATCTTACGAGATATGTCAAATTACGATTTAAACAGTAAGGATTGACTTCTCATTAAATGTTTTATATAGTGCTCGCGATGACGAAACCATGAGCTATTTAATATCTTCAATAATCTCTAGGCGAACTTACTTCAGGATGAATGAGGAGCTACAGATATTTAGAATAACTTTTTCTAATGTATACATGAGAAAATCATCATAAGTTTTTGTCTCAATAATTATGAGATGGAGATCTGAAGAAAAATATTTAGATCTTATTTAGACCATGCCGAGAGATGACTTAAAAAAGCATTATATCGTGTGAAAAACGTAATGTCTGAAGGATATATTTTTCTCAGAAATTCTTTGTTCATCTAATTTCTCATTCTCTTTTGGATGTCTTTAGACATCTTTCAGCCACTTGCATTGCTTGCGTTCACTTGAAATTAATTAAATGGACATGCTTGCTAATATATTTGATCGAGCGCTCGAGAAAATCGAAATTATTTCCCATTTTTCAGCACAGTGTTATCTAATGTGACATCCGGCGTTGAAAAGGGAGTGTCATCATGCCAGGAAATGTGACTTCGGCAAACATCCCTACAGATATTTTTGCCGAATTCAAACTCGCACTGTGATCGTGCATTTACTTGAAACAGGAGATAAACGAGTATCTTGGATAGAATGCGCGTATCTTGGATAGATTAGACGATTAGTGGAAATAGTTGTTAGTTAAGCTAGCCTAACACGTAAACGTTGAAGAGAAACGAAAGGGTTGACAATTTTAATATTTCTCAGATACAATTTGACACGCGCGCGTTAATTCTGCAGGACGATCAATTTTTGATTGCCAGCTAATCCTTCGACTCGCTACGTGAGACATCGTGATTTCTTTTTAGTATACATATGCGCTTTTCTTATGCGGAACGGTGTACCTAAAAGTGCTTAAAAATGAGTGTTCTATTTTCCAATGGGACCACCGATTTTTGCAAAGCTCTCATTCTTTCTATGGAACGGATACATCAACATCGATTGGTGTAATACATTAAATCTTCAATTTTTTCAATTTATTATTAATAAAAATCAACTATATACTTAAAGAAGTAATAAGCAAAATATATTAGAGTATCAATTTCCTCTTAACTTGGATATTTATCCTTATAAAATTAATAAATATCTTTAAAAATATTAATAAATATTATATAAATATTAATATTTAATAAATATTATAAAAAATTGTTTTTAAATTATAAGACCAAAAAGGTCTTTGTTTATTTGAGGAGTAGAGAAGTATGATTCAATAAATCATTATCGATCTTTTTCCTTTCCCTTTTCGTTGTAAGAAAATAGAAAATTAATTAACTTGCATTTTTCCGAAAAAATAATTCTATTCATAATATAAAATATATAATAGAAAAAGGAAGATAATTAGCGCTGATGTTGTTGCAACCGTCCCGAAATTGCAACTTCATACACCACAAAAAGAAATTTTTGCGGGACGCAATATTTGCAAAGATACTAAGCGCAATATGATTCGACTTCGTCGTATCGTACATAATAACAACACTTCGTTCCTTGCTTAATACAAACTTTAAAATAACTTTATCTCAAATCCTTATAGCTATTTATTTTCCTTACCGAGAAGTTAGTTATAAGACCGTTCGTACTTAACGTTTTTACAGTATATTATCTGAAATATTAGTCTGCGCGTATACAAAGCTAGTTGTACAGTTTTGAAACGCATGTAATAACCGCGTGAAAAAGTGAAATTAAAATGGAAATAAAAGCGTTTACAATATCGCATTACATTAAATGTTAAAATTATAAGTACAGTGATTAAGATTGTAAAATGGTAAGTATCAATACTAACTTATAATTAGTTCACATTCTTCATTTCTCTTTTAGCGTTTAGCGTAAAATGTACATGATATATCGATATATTATTGCAAAAACTTTGTGATAATTTCTAATCGGAATATATCAGTATTTTTAATAAATTGGTATTATAAAACAATTATAGAATAATTATTTTCACAGAGTAAAATCACGACATTTCTTGTAATATTTCCACGCGTAAATACAAACTTTGAAAAACGTATGAAATCTAAGAAGGCATTAAAACGCAAAACGGAAGATATGCTAAGACATTCCAAAATTTTTTTGTAAAATCTATCGTTACTGTGATTATATAGCTAGTTTTCATTGGAATCCGTTGTTTATGGAAAATTGCGTAAATTACATTCGTACATGATAATGCGATAAGAGTGTCATTCTATCTCACCGTACCTTTTGTCGCTCCACGTGTCTTACATAGTAACCGTGCATGGATGGAAGCTTACAAGTAGACCATTTTAGTATATTAATTCAAAGATAGATCTAAAGTTGTAAATATTACGCGCTAAATACCACTAATAATTCGAAATCACGTTTGAAACTGTACAACATTGACGACAATCGCTCGCATGCTATTTCGGATGACTAATATTTTGAATTTAGTCGCTCCAAAGGCGCTCCCACAAGCACATTTCATTTATCCTCATTTTATACGTATTTGTTAATGTACAGTAATATAGCCGAAAAGTTTCCTTAGTTTCTAAGCTATTATTTGTCTCTTATGAACTAACAACTTGGGACGTCATCGGGCTGCTCCCTGGAAATATAGAAGTGTGCACCAACCAACTGAAGAAATAACATAAGGCAAATAAAACTCAGAAATGTAAAAATTATTTATTAACAGACAGAAATATGTGAATATTTCCTTTTTGCGAAATTAACTAGTATAGATATATAACTGTATCGAGAAAGAAACTTTGAAGAAAAAATAATTATTTGTAACAATTTGTTAAAATTACAATTTTTTCTGAACATTAACTTATCATTAATTATTGAAATTAAAATAAAATTTTATTTGTACTCATACTACGAGCGATATATTTATCTAACGTTTTTATTGTCTATATATTATCTGTACATGATGCGAATGGAACACTTCATCTACGCGACTTACGACTTATGTTTTATTGCAGAATAATACACAGTTTATAATTTGTCTCGTACATTTATATGGGCAAATGATTGATTCATATATATGTAATTTGTTATGTGAATTTGTGATTTTTAATCGTAGCGATCTAAAAAAGGAAATAAATCCTTTCCTGGGAGCAGTCCGTTTCTATTGTAAATCCTGCAAGTTGGTAATTTATTATTGTCATTCACAGAAGTAGGAGTTTTATCCACTTACACACTAGAATCTGTTACTTTCAAATGGTTTCCTTAGTAAAAAGAAACAAACAGATGAAAAATATAGCGATATAGCCTACATCTCGAGCAGAGATCTCGGTTATTGATCGGGATTGTTCTCAAGTATTGTCTTATCGAAAATTCAGCGACACAAACATCGATTAAATGTTCTTATTGTCATTTATTTACTTACACGGTAATTAGTACGAGTCCCTATTTAATGCTTTCCACTTTTCTTAACATCTTGCCTTTCGTAAAGCTAGATAATGTAAGAGAGTTTCTGATCTGTATATGTAATGATACTTGTGTATATGCGTATGTAATTAAATACTGGTCTTCGTGCGATAAGCGGTTAAATCGCAAAGAATTTGCTGCTGCAAATTTTGTGGACACCCCGGCACTTGGGAGCTGCACACACATTTAAAACTCGACATGAGAGACGTTACGCTAAATTCACTACCCCTAAATTGATTATGTATTTCGCTGATTTATCTTGGTTGCACGTCTTACATATCCCTTGTACGTTTTGCGATATGTAATTTTTTTTTTTTTTTTTGATAATTTTATATTTCCTTTTTTATCCTTTTATCCTTTTTATTTATGGATATTTATGGATATTATTCTTGCCATTCACAAAATACCCACAAACGCATTGCTTAAATTATGTCGACATAAAATATATAATAAAAATCATATATCTGAAGAGATAGTTTTTGAAATACTTTCTTTCGTAATATTTTATATAAAATATAAGCCGTAGTTTTATGCATGCGATACGCTTCACGCACAAGAGACCAGTTCCAAAGTACTACGCGGTGTCCTTTTGACGAGTGGGTCCTAATCCTTGTAATTAAAGACATTTATTATCTGTACCCAAGGCACATTTTATACTATCATTCCGTTTTAGGAAGGTCCACTCTATAGTATATACATATTATAGCATTGTTACACGTATAGGGGATAGTTTGTAACTTGCACATCGCCCTTAAAGTATTACTTTTTCTTTACTTTCTTGTACATAGTTCACATTTCGTTAGCAATCTCTCTTCTCTTTTCTCTTTCTCTTTCTCTTTCTCTCTCTCT